TGCCAATCAGCTGTTCAGCGGCAGGCAGGAGACGCTGTGGGGAGGGGGCGGAGCCTGTGCAGGAAGGGGCGGAGTGAGGGTGGGGCCATGGGGGAAGGGGCAGAGTGGGGGCAGGGCCTCGGGGTGGAGCAATGGTGGAACAGCCACCCAGAAAGAAGAAAGTCAGCACCTGTGTGACCAGTTCTGCCAAGGACTGATGAGCCTAGGGTTGCCAACCCTCCAGGATTGCCCTGGAGTCTCCAGGAATTAAAGAGTAACCTTTTATGAAAGGTTTCAGAGTAGCAGTCGTCTTAGTCTGTATCTGCAAAAAGAACAGGAGTACTTGTGGCACCTTAGAGACTAACAAATTTATTTCAGCATAAGCTTTCGTGGGCTACAGCCCACTTCTTCGGATGCATAGAATGGAACACACAGACAGAGGATATTTATACATACAAAGTTCACTCACCAGGTTAGCCGTGATATTATTGGGGATACTATTCCTGATTGGCACCTTAACAGCAGGATTGTCTGGCTATGTGGACTCTCTCCTCAGGCCCTATGCTACCAGCACTCCCAGCTATCTTCGAGACACCACTGACTTCCTGAGGAAAGTACAATCCATCGGTGATCTTCCAGAAAACACCATCCTGGCCACTATGGATGTAGAAGCCCTCTACACCAACATTCCACACAAAGATGGACTACAAGCCATCAGGAATAGTATCCCCAATAATATCATGGCTAACCTGGTGGGTGAACTTTGTGACTTTGTCCTCACCCACAACTATTTCACATTTGGGGACAATTTATACCTTCAAGTCAGCGGCACTGCTATGGGTACCCGCATGGCCCCACAGTATGCCAACATTTTTATGGCTGACTTAGAACAACGCTTCCTTAGCTCTCGTCCCCTAACACCCCTACTCTACTTGCGCTATATTGATGACATCTTCATCATCTGGACCCATGGAAAAGAAGCCCTTGAGGAATTCCACCATGATGTTAACAGTTTCCATCCCACCATCAACCTCAGCCTAGACCAATCCACACAAGCGGTCCATTTCCTAGACACTACTGTGCTAATAAGCGATGGTCACATAAACACCACCCTATACCAGAAACCCACTGATCGCTATACTTACCTACATGCCTCCAGCTTCCATCCAGGACACACTGCACGATCCATTGTCTACAGCCAAGCTCTAAGATACAACCGCATTTGCTCCAATCCCTCAGAGAGAGAGAAACACCTACAAGATCTCTATCAAGCATTCTTAAAACTACAATACCCACCTGCTGAAGTGAAAAAACAGATTGACAGAACCAGAAGAGTACCCAGAAGACACCTACTACAGGACGGGCCCAACAAAGAAAATAGCAGAACGCCATTAGCCATCACCTTCAGCCCCCAACTAAAACCTCTCCAGCGCATCATCAGAGATCTACAACCTATCCTGAAAGATGATCCCTCACTTTCACAGATCTTGGGAGACAGACCAGTCCTCGCTTACAGACAGCCCCCCAACCTGAAGCAAATACTCACCATACAACATAAACACTAACCCAGGAACCTATCCTTGCAACAAAGCCCGATGCTAACTCTGTCCACATATCTATTCAAGTGACACATCATAGGACCTAACCACATCAGCCATGTCATCAGGGGCTCGTTCACTTGCACATCTACCAATGTGATATATGCCATCATGTGCCAGCAATGCCCCTCTGCCATGTACATTGGCCAAACCGGACAGTCTCTCCGCAAAAGAATAAATGGACACAAATCAGACATCAGGAATCATAACATTCAAAAACCAGTGGGAGAACACTTTAACCTCTCTAACCACACAATGACAGACTTGAAGGTGACAATTTTGCAACAAAAAAACTTCAAAAACAGACTCCAAAGAGAGACTGCTGAACTCGAATTAATATGCAAATTAGATACAATTAATTTAGGTTTAAACAGAGACTGGGAATAGTTGGGTCATTACACTAATTGAATTTTTTTCCCCCATGTTAAGTTCTCCTCACACCTTGTATGGGTCATCTCCATTATCACTTCAAAGGTTTTTTTTCCTCTGCTGCTGATAGCTCATCTCAATTGATTGGCCTCTTACAATTGGTATGTGTACTTCCACCTTTTCATGTTCTCTGTATGTATAAATATCTTCTGTCTGTGTGTTTCACTCTATGCATCCGATGAAGTGAGCTGTAGCCCACAAAAGCTTATGCTGAAATAAATGTGTTAGTCTCTAAGGTGCCACAAGGACTCCTGTTTTTTTTCCTTTTATTAAAGATGATGTCATGTGATGAGACCTCCAGGAATTCAGCCCACCAAAGTTGGCAACCCTTGCAAACAGAGACCATGATTCGTTTATGTATTCGCTTAGCTTTCCTCCCCTGGGTACTGCCATTCACTCCAATGAGATTAAAGTCAAACCCACGTGTGTTTGCAAGATTGACCTTTATACTGTCAAATTAATGGATGAAATCCTTCAAGCGCAGTTTTGCCATTGACTTTAATGGGGATTTCACTCTATATACTTATTGCAGACTGATGTCAAATATTAATCAGGAAACACTCACAGTGTTTGATTTAACGGGGAACCATCCACCCAGGTCCACTTCCTCCCTGGGGATGTGATGTTGAGTCCAATCCACGCCGGAATTTGATTTCCTGTAAGATTCTGTGTGAACTCCTGTGACATGGACACGGTGTCAGAGAGAACAGAACATGGTAGAATTCTCTGGCTCCTTTGCTCACAATGCAAATGAGACCTGATCTCTAGTTTGGGTTTTGATCATTAATATCGGTGACGAATCAGGACTAGCTGAAACTCCAATTGAAAGTGAACATAACCAATAATTTACACTACTAATTAATAACTGAGTCGGTCCTGTTCCCCTCCACCAAGATTTTGATTAATTTTGTTTAAAATTTTCAGTGAACTTCAGTGAACGTTCTCAATTTTTGTAATGACATTTTTTTTGACAATTTTTTGTGCTGTTTTTTTTAACAGCTCTAATAAATAATTAGTAACGTTTCAGCTGTGGGCAAACTCTCCGCTGTTATCCAGCTACTACACGTCCTTCCAAATAGGGCATGATTCTGTACTGAGTGAACAAACCCTGTGGAACGTTGCTATACAGCTGTTACCCAACTGCCCCACCCCAGAGGTAGCCGCAACCCAGTGATAGCTGAACAATCCCTGTCTCCAGTTTGTACTTCATCATTTTAAGACCGTAAAATGCTTTGGGATCTACTATTAATGTATTTATTTCAATATATTTAGGCTTGGAAAGATTAGATTTCTATCGGTAAATGTCGACTTCACTGTAGACACACAAACTGATGGAAAAATATTTCCACGGATAATAATAAAAATTTACAGAGAGGTAAAGTAAAAAAAATAATACTGGTTGAGACGTTAGAAGTTGATTTAAGGATTCTTACTTTGTATATTTTGATGGTTACAAAACTTTACCATTTTGAATCTCAACAGATACTGTCATTAAATAATTATGGTCGGACCTCCCTGCCTCCGCCCCGTGATTTCCCACAACTGTGGAAATGTAAAGCAATAAAAATGCATAAAAATACTTATAAGCCATAATTTTGCACCACTGAAAATTTACATTGATAAAAAAAAATTAAAATTCTTAAAAATAAATGGAGAATATCTGTCAAAATTCTAAAAAACGATGAACATCTCATTTCACTTTAAAATTTCCCAGTGAAAAATAGAAAAATTGTGAATGAAAATGTTGCTTTCAAAAGTTTGTTGACAGAAAAATAAAAAGAGGGCTTCTTGACCTGCCCTCATTAACAAGGACACAACTATGGTGAAGTTTAGCACGTTCTTTACCAGCTCCTCCCGGTCCTGGATCACTAGCAGGTGAGATCTCCTCCGTGAGCAGTCATCCTGGCCCCTGCTCCAGTATTGGTTCTCTTCAGACAGCCAGTAGCACTTGTCCCTGTGCGGCACCCAGTGCCTGGGGCAGAGTTTGCACCCGGAGCCCTCTGGACGGGGAAATGGAACAGTTATCAATAACGGGTCTGATCATTCTACCAGCTCTGACCAGCTTCCCCTGCAGAGATGCGCAGAGGCTCAATAGGGGGCGCTCTCACCTTGCAACCAGTGCTCACCCCATTGCACCAGTGCAGTGCTAGGGGGCGCTGTGCTGCAGGGCTCAGTAGGGAGTATGTTAATGTCAGCCAATGCTGGCCCTGATCTCAGCTGGGGTAGGGACCGTCTCTCGCTGTGTGTCGGTGCAGCGCCCGGCACAACGGGGCCCTGATCTCAGTTAGTGCCTTTAGGTGCTACACATGTAATACACGTATCAGCTGAAGAACTGTACAATCTTATTACACTATTATGGCTCCAGCTGCCTGTATATTCCAGGGCTCTTACCACCCTGACTGGCCACTAGCTGTCGCACTGAGGCTGTAGATTCCTGGCAATATTATAGAGGCTCATGAAGGCTCAGAGGCTAATGATCTGGAGGCTGGCGTGGACTGCACTCTCAGCAAGTTTGCTGATGATACTAAACTGGGAGGAGTGATAGATACACTAGAGGGTAGGGATAGGATACAGAGGGACCTAGACAAAATAGAGGATTGAGCCAAAAGTATCCTGATGAGGTTCAACAAGGACAAGTGCAGAGTCCTGCACTTAGGACGGAAGAATCCCCTGCACTGCTACAGACTAGGGACCGAGTGGCTAGGCAGCAGTTCTGCAGAAAAGGACCTAGGGGTTACAGTGGACGAGAAGCTGGAGATGAGTCAACC